TAGATGCAATGCCAATCTTTATTTTCTGTCTTCTTAATTCCTGCTCTTTTATTGTTCTCTTTATTTAATAGTCTTGTTTTTATTCTTATATTCTCTAACACTCATTAACTCCTTACGTCTTAGTGGATTTATTGCCTTGCTTGGAGTGAAATGATTAAAAAACATGTGTGAAATAAACTTCCAACTGACAATACCAAGATTCCGAAATGACATTATTTTAGTGAATTTCGTACAAAGATTTGTTTTTTTTTCAAGAAACATAAAATAGTATATAAACCCTATACTTAGTTAAATTAAATCATTTTAAATTATTACAAGTATAAAAGTAAAAATTTTATAAGCGGATTACAGTAGCGAATTATCACAAAACCAAACCGAAACTATAATATGTCACTCACAGTAGAAAGAGAAGTTTTTGAAATAGGCCTTCAGTTTTGTCTTTATTTAAACTTATATCCAAAAATTATTAAAAAATTTAATTAATTCTCGCTTGTGGGACTCTCTTCAAGATTCTTGCTTCCCAGTCAACATTCATATTCAAACATTCTAGAGCAATATCAATTATCTTCTGTGTTCTTTTCCTTGATACCGTCTTCTTTTCTCATATTCTCTCACACTCCTATATATATATATATATATATATATATATATATATATATATATATATATATATATATATTATAATAAAAAGAAAGAACAGTAAGATATATAATTTGGTGTTTTTAATTGATATTTTTATTTTTACAAAACAGTGCTTTATTTAAATTTTAAGTTTTTAGCTTCGGTTTTTTTGAAACATGGTAATTTCTTTTAGCGAGAAGAAATCATTTTAAATGAGTTAATCAGTTAATATATATATATATATATATATATATATATATATATATATATATATATATATATATATATATATATAGGTAGAAACGTATCGAAACACAACAGCAATTGTGTAGCGATTTTGTCATGTTTTCGGTGTAATATTCTTATATATATATATATACCAGTCTATTCATCTCTCTATCTATTTAAGCCAGTCTGCTCGTCTCTCTCTCTCTCTCTCTCTCTCTCTATCTATCTATCTATCTATCTATCTATCTATCTATCTCAGTCTGCTCGTCCTTCTCTCTATCTGAAAACTTGCCGTAACTTACTTTACACAGACTATAGTAACATAAATCAAGAAAATGGATTAGGCATAGAAAAAGATGAAATCAACCGTATATCTAAATCCAATGTTTCTACTAATTCAGTAAACACACAGACAAACACACATACGCACACAGACAAACACACATACGCACACAGACAAACACATATACACACAAACACCCACATGCATGAAACAACAACGAAATCACAAAATGAGTTCACAGATATCAATATTGCGAGACGACGGTGTGACAGGTTGAAATCAGTCATAATGTTATTCACTGTTGACGTCATTTTCCCGCCCAAATGCCATGAGATCTTTCATACTGGCCAACGGGAAATATAGCAACATATGACGTCATCCTTGAATGATGTTTGTGTTAATCCGAATCAAACATTAGATTAAGGATATTGGCATAGGATTAAAATCAATAAATTTAACTTTCAAACAAGAAGGAACATGGCTTTAAAGCACCCCAAATCCCTGAAACTTGCTCAAATTATATTATTTCGAAAGAGCCAGAAACTTGATTTTGAATTCATAAGATTTTATTATATACTTTGTAAACATGCACACAGATTGTAATAAGAGGGAAGTTTTACCTAGAAAATTAGCATTCGAAATACTAGTTTGAACACCAATAAAACCAATAAACAGAGAGTAGGTTTGCCATAAAACCAGTCTTTGAAATGCTAGCTTATCACTTGCTTTTTTTAGACTGAATCACTGAAAACAATGCTAAATTGAAAAGCAGGTTTGCCTTAAAAGTCAATACTGAACCACTGAAAACAATGCTAAATTGAAAAGCAGGTTTGCCTTGAAAGTCAATACTGAACCACTGAAAACAATGCTAAATTGAAAAGCAGGTTTGCCTTGAAAGTCAATACTGAACCACTGAAAACGGTTGTAGTGAAATTTATGTTTCCCTTAAAATGAAACATTTAACAACTGAAAACTGGGTTAAAAAGAAAAGCTAAGTTTGCATTGGAATTCAATATTCAAAATACTTGCTTATCGATTGGGGTTAAAACTGAACGACTGAATTCTGGGTTAAACTAAAGGATAGATTTGCATCGAAATCCAGTATATGAAATATTAGTCAATTAATTGTACCACTGAAAACAGGAATAAACTAAAAAGAAAGGTCTGCGTTGATATTCAATACTTAACCACTGAAGACTGGGTTAAAATGAGAGCCTTTCGTTCCACAATAAACTACTGAAGTTAGCGTTAAAATGATAGGGCAATTTTGCCTTTAATTTCAATACTGAGTCACTGAAAATGGTTAAACTAAAAGGGAAGGTTCACATCAAAATTCAATACTGAACCATCGAAAACTGTGTTAAAATA